AAGGCCACCTACCAGACTCTTTCTAAAATGTTTCACGACGGGCCACTGGGCTTCAGACTGTCCCAGTACACAAAGAGGTGCACGGCCTGACCCTAGTCCCCATATTCTTGTAGGGCTAGCCATCAATAATTGATGGGGTCTCAAGACTGCTGTATCAACAAGTCCAATAACTATGCTGGAACCCAGGGTTCAAATGACTGTCCATGATCACTTTCCTTTCACCAGGGGTTGAATTCAGGGGCACTCAAACATGGAGCCACTTCCCCAGCCCCTATTTTGTATTTATTTTGAAACAGGGTCTTGTGAAATTGCTTAGTGCCTCACTTTTTTGCTTAGGCTGGCTTTGACTCTTGATCCTCCTGCCTCAGCTGCTGGGAATACAGGGGTGTGCTACTGTGCCCAGCACACCTAGGATATTTCTTTGCAGCAAAAGTAGCATCCAGGAGAATCTCTGCTGCCCCAGGTCTTTTCTCCTTGTCCTACCTTTCCTTCTCTATCTCCTCCTCCTCTGCCTCCACTGCCTACTCCTCCATCTCCTCCTTCTCTGCCTTTACCCCCTCCTCCTATAACTCCTCCTCCTCCAACCCCTCCCCCTCTCCCTTCACCTCTCTAACTCCTCCAAACTACTTCCTCTACCTCAACCCCTCCTCCTCCCCTCCTTCAATCCCTTTCTCCTCCACCTTCCCTCCTCTTCCTCCTCCCCCTCTTCTTCCTCCGTCCTCTCTCTTCCTGCTGTACTCCTCATCCCTTGTCCAGTCTTCCTCCTCCTCCACCCTTTCTCTACCTCTATTTTCTTCTCTTCTCCACCTCCTTCTCAACACCCTTCCTCCTCTATTTCCTCTTCTTACTCCTCCTCCATCACTTCCTCTTCCCCCCTTCTACTCCCTCCAACACCTTCCTCCTCCCCCTTTCTCCTTCTCCATCCCCTTTCCCTCCTCCACTTTCATCTTCCTCTTCTTCCTCTTATTTCTCCTCCTCTGCCTCCACTCCATCTTCCTCCATCCCCTTCTCCTTATTTATGCCTCTCAGCCATACTCCCTCCTTCATCTCCACCATATTCTAAGCCACCACCCCTTCCTGTGCCCCTACTTCATTCCCTTCCTCCTCCTCCTACCTCCTCCCCTTCTCTATTCTTTATTCTCCATCTCCTACTCTTCCCCTCCTCTGCTCCCTTTTTCTCCCACCCCCTTTCTCTTCTTCCTTCATCCCTCATCCTTCTCTTTCTTTATCCCTCCACCCCTTCCTTCTCTCCCT